GTAAGTATTCATTGAGTGCATTTTGAGAGGAATCTGGGTGCACCCTTGGAGACAGCAGACTGGGCTCTGCCTGACGTATGATCAACCTCACAGTCGGTCTCATTTCCTGGAAGGCTCATGTAACAACAGGAGGTGGGCACCTGATCATCAAAAGGTTATCACAAGTCTTTAAATAACGGCATCACCTCAGCGTCTCAAGGTAAAAGGAAAGCATAGGAAAATGGCTGAGGCTGGGCAGCTAAAGCCTTAAATGAAACCAGTGTTAGGTTATCTGAAAGCTACTGCCAAGATCTGAGAACCTTCCTAGGGAAGTTAGACCTCAGTGCCTGAACGGTAACTTGAACAATGTTGAGGCACAGAAGTGTTAGCAGTTCCCTGGGTGAGCCTTCCACAACTCCTGCCCCATGCAAATGGGCAGAAGTCTTAGCGTATCTGAACCTCTCTTTAATTTCAGCAAACAAAACCATCCTACAACTCCTAAGTGCACGTTTGGAACCACAGGCTGCCCTCTAATTCATCTGGAAAAACAGAGCAAACAAAAAGCAGCCTTGAGATTCTTCTGTTTAACAAGTAAAGCACTCCCTGGGTGCAAGTCTGGCTACAGAAACACCCACAGCAGTGAGGAGCCCAGGTGTCACTCTTTGGCTAATCCCAGAAGAGCTTGATTTGCCAAATCCAGGCAGCAGTCCTGTTGGTGATGAGCCCACTAGTTACTCTATTGGTTTACTGCTCTGGTCTGGCAGCCTCAGAGTGGTGGGCATCACAATGACTTTATTCCTCACCTAGAATTTGGCAGTTTAAGGCCCTGCTGAGAAGGATCCTCAGGTTTTCTGGAGCAAGAGAGCTCGAGTTCAGACTATCACTCATCCTTGTTCACAATTTGGAAACTATTTCTAGCGGCCCTAGCAAACAACATTCTACCAAAAGAAAAAGGCATATCAAATATGTCCTCTTCCCACACTGCCTCCCACCACCCCTGTTCACTGCTTAATCCATGGTTAAGAATCTCTTCCCTTGCACAATGGACCTGATTTGTCTCAATATTTGCATGCCCTATGCCAAGGAATGTAACTGTTTGATTATATGGTCTCAGGTGTAAGTACTTATCTATGACTGAACTAGGTATTTAGAGGGAACCCCAAGACTGGGATTGGCAGGTGTTGACAGACCACACATGGCCCTACTGAACAAAAAATACGTCACTTACCTCAGTGTCAGGCACACAGCTGGAGCTCAGTAAATATGTGAATTAATGTGAAAGATCAAAAATAAGATCTGGTGGTCCAGTACGAGAATATGAGAATATGCTGCATTAATCCAGAAGACATTTAACCCATCTCTCTACTTGTGAGACTAGCACTATAGATTACATTAGTTTCTCTTTGGGAACAAGGCAAATAGCTCAACCACCAAATATTATTAAACTCCATTTAATTTAAACTGTTTCTATTCAAACTTCCAGTATGTACCATATGATAAAACCTTGGAATCTGATGAACTTAGTTTTTTTTTAATGTGTTCCATGACTTGCTTCCCTAATTTTCCTTAATAAAAAGGACAATTCTGCGATTCCAGTTTTCATTTGCATTTTCATTGTGATTGAAATTGAACAGAGTATAAACAAACTAAATGTCCAGTGCTCCTAGTATGTGCCAACAAGAAAAGGAAATTAGCAAAATGCTGCTGGCAATAAGAACACAAGGGAAATCTGGCTGTGAAGGAAAAGGATTTTACTGGGCAGCTTAAATTTTTATCTAATAGAATATCAATGTTTGAACAACTTTTAACATGAGGAAAAACTCCACTTAATCTAAGCTGACAGACATTACCAGTAAAAGCAAAAAAAAAAAAAAAAGTCGTTTCTTCTTTGAGTTGGTGACAAAAACTTCTTAGGCTGCCACAGTCTGATACTTAAATCATGGAAAAATTCCCAAATAGAAACTTACAGGCTGGCAGGAAAGTCAGCTGGCCCATAATTCTGTATATGTGAGTTTACAGTTTAAGATGACTGTATGTGTTTCCAGAAAAATATATACTCTAACTTAGCTTTTTAACTTAAACTGTTAACTATATTTGTGCTTCAGAAAATGTAAATTCTATCTACATTAACAATCTAAGTGGCTACAGATTGGAAAGGTACCTATGGATGGCAGGAGCAGAGAGAAGAAATGCCTTCCGCCCACCTAGTGGGTGAGAACCCAAGGGCAGACTGTGCCCAAAGGCTGAGGAAACATCATCCGAATCAACATGGAGAGAAAGAAGCTGATGACCTCAGAGAGAACAGGATAAGAAGGGCAGAGACCCAAGCAACAACAAACCAAAGAACATTTATTATGTGGAAGAGGCAGATTGTGACAGGGAGAGCAGGGCATATTTTACTATGAAATGTATCAAACATACAGAAAAATCCAAAAAATAAAACTCATGTGTCTATCAACTAAATTGATCTAGTACTAACCCAGAGCCATATGTTCTTCAGTACCTTTAAGTAATAAAAAGTTATATGTACACTAGACAGCCCCTATGTATCCCTTCCCATATTCCCACGCACTTGGTATGAATGTTTTATGCAAGACTTATTTGGGGTGAAGAACTTCGAGGGAAAAATAATAAAACTACCCCGCCTAGACAGAAAAGTGGTAAACAAACAAAAATTAAGGCATAAAATGTCATTAAAGAAAACGTTTCCAAGAAACAAAAACACAAGATGCTGTACTTTCTCTCCTCAGTCAAGCCTTCGCTGTTTCCTTTCTCGTAAGTGTTGATCTCTGAGAGTGTTTCTGCAAGAGAAAAATCAACTATCATGACACCTTATATAAAAACTCAATTACCATGGTTCTTAATTTCTATCTTAAGTAAAAGTAAACCAAATATTCACTTTCAACTGAAATTACTTTAAGTCAATCTTCCAATTAAAAAAAATTCACTGCCACAGTAACAGTGCTTTATGTCCAATACAGCTGTCTGTACTCCCCTTCACAGATATAAAATACAGCTGTTTGCTCTCCCTCCAAATATAAAAAATATTTTATTAACTTGTATGCTGAAATACTTACCACTTTTGAGTAACAGATTACAGATAGTTTTATGTTCTCATCACATCACTCCTAGTTTAGCAATTTTACAATAAAATTACGAACAAATCAAAACAAATTTCTCCAGAGATGATGAAACACTGAAACTTTAAGCACATTTTATCCTTCTCTAAGAATAATAATTTAAACAATTATCCAACTATATTTTCACCACAATGAAGGAAGTGTGCTTAAGGAACCATGTATGTAATTTTTTCTAGTAATATAACCCCTTAGTTTCTTGCCCTCCAGAACTGATCTAATCTAAAATGATATTGTAGCACAGCTACAGGTAAGCAGCAAACGGCGGTACGGAGAACTCAGCTTGCATCATAAGACCTACTTTCCAGTGTGTGTGTGTGGTTTTTTGAGCAGCCATTTAACCTCCTTGAGCCTTCACCTCCTCATCTATAAAATGAGGCCTACCTTCTTTTAATCTTCTGGGCACTGTGAAGATTAAATATGTGACTATTACACCATTGTAAAGCAATTATACTCCAATAAAGATGTAAAAAAAAAATGTGACTATTAAATAATGCACTACTCAAATATAAGGTATTACATTGTATTCAAAGGTAGACAACCTATGTATTTATTTCTGCAGTAGGGGTAAAGCCAGTTCAACCACTACACTTTAAATCAAGTGTTTTGTTTTTTTTTAAAGTAATGTCTTCAATCTATTTAGAAACAATAGAAAATACAGGTTTCATCTGAAGTTGTGTACCCAAACACACTCAATATTCTTACGGGAAAAAAAAAAGCTTATTGCACAGATATAAAGATTAAAGCACATACAGTTAATCAACTTGATTAGAAATATGATGATTTGGTATCATGAAACTTAAGATTTTAAACTCAAGTATGGTACACATAACAGCAGTCAGTATTAAAACTTAATATATTAGAAAGGACTGAAAGTTGTAACTGCAAGTCAGCATTTATTCAAAATAACCCAAAACTTGTGAAGTAAAATAAATCATCTCAAAATAAATCATGAGAATCAAAACTCTTGATCTTGCATGAATGATATTTAGCTTAGAACTTAGCCACACTTTCTCAGAAACAGAAACAAAACAACTGTCCATTATCATGTGGAGAATACGTCTGACCCCAGTAGGTACCTCCTTGAGAGCCCCTACAGAGCCCCAGAGGGCAGGAGGACCTCGGGAGCTACTTGCAAATGGTCAGATATGAACTGCAGGTTAGTCCGCAAGAGTGCACATACTGAGTAAGTCAAAGATCATTTGCTTTTAGCTAGAATTCTATCAATTCAAAGTGGTGAGAAGGACAATTTCATTTTGATGAGAAGTTCTAACTGGCTACTGATCACAAAACAATTTCCGAGGGCCACCTGAGAACAAAGGATCCCAGGCAATATAAAAAAGCAGGGGAACCACTATTCAAAATCCACCAATGTAGTCTTTAACCACTAGAGTCACCACAGCCAAAAAAGGAAGAGTATGTTTTGTTTTGAAATGAAATATACTATCAGTACGGCCCATTTTCTGTTCTCGGCCTCTTAAAACCTCTTCACAAAAAGTGCTATAGGTTTTTATAGAAGTACGTACAAGGGAGAGTTCATTTCACTCTAGACACAAAGAATTTCAGGCTAAGCTTGACCTCACGACAATTTTTACAAGTCCCTGCAAATATCATCAAGAGCTGTCTCTATGTCAAACACAGTAAGGAAAGGACGCTGCAACCCGGACAGCCCTGGACTCAGTCCCACTAGTAGCGTCAAAGGGAGCTTACCAAACAAAACCTACAAAGACAGCAGAAGCACTACAGCCAGACCTCAGATCATTAGACTGCAGAATAAAGTACAGCCTCAAAACGGGTGTCACCCCATTAGCTCTGTCATGACAACATGACTGGAGATGTCCTGCTGGGGGTTACACAAGTGCAAAAACATCAAATTTAACTTACTTAACTTTTTAACAATTTTTTCATTTCAGTAAATTTGTTTTGATTGGTTGGATTGTTTAAGAGGAAGAGAAGAATCTGTTCATGTTTTTCAACCTGAGGGGGAGAAGAAATGGTGTTATTTCATTGCTAAAAATGTTGGGAGTATAATTTCACTTAAAGGAAATTTTACCCACTTGTTTCTGTAGCTCTGTGCAGCAGCAATTCATCCTGTTCACCTTTTCTAAAAGCAAATGCAAAAAGCCATTAGACAACTAGCACTATAAATAACAGAAAAAATAAAACAAAACAAAACCTGCAGTCTGAACATATACAGATCTGCCCCTCAGGGCAGATCCTTTCCAACTACAAAAGGACTTGATCAATTAATTTTTCATTTGGGCTTTATGTTATCTACTCCTGTCCTGGGTTTTACCAAATGAGTGCCCTTACCTCTGAGGTTTCACGTCTTTTGCCTGTCATACACGAGATTTCTCTTTTCGGTTGAGGGCAGGCCTGCCAAAGCATCATCTTATGAAATAACTAGTAAGATCCATTCTCAAATATGTGAGTTCTTCTCACTTTGATCAGGATCAAAAGGAAGTTGGAAGCTACTCTGAATGCCTGACATTTCTAAAGCTCTCAGCATCAATTCTATCAACAGTGTTGCTGAGCCTGATCTAAGGAAAATCCGGACTGGGAGGCCTGCTTCCTTCCAGGTGGCTCCTCTAAGGTGACAACATGAGTCAGCACCCTGCCGCTGGATTTGTAGAGGGTGACAACAGAGGGACCGAGGCCACGGAGAATAAGGAAAGATCAGGTCAACTAAATTGATTACATCTGTTCTTGGCTATACTTACATCTGCTATTAATTAAACTTGAAAAAAATACCTTTATTTAAAGCACTTTGCTTTTTAGATGTGATGTTTTTCGCCAGACCATACATCACCAGCTTATCAGCTATATTCATAGTACCATTCTCAGAACACTTCTCAACTGACACTGTGTGGACATTCTTGATAAATCCTTTTACAGAAAGCATTACATTCTGATTCAACATTAAATTTTTCAGTAGTTCTATTATTAATTGAGAACAGCTTCCATTTAATTCCATTGGTCCTGGAAAAAAATTGAATATTAGAGTTAATCTTCAAGTTCCTGAAAAATGATACTTAGATAAATTATCTAAGGATAATAAGCAAAAGGCTCACTGATTTTAGCTAGGTTTAGGTATGCTTTGATGTACTACTGCTGTTGCATTCAAAAAAATCAAACTTAATTAATATTCCTCAATCCCTACTACGTCAAGCACTAATTTAGGTCTAGAAGCCACAAAACAGACAAATGTCTGCCTTTGTGGACTTACATTCTAATGGTAGAAGCAAACAATAATAAAGATAATTTTCCAACTCTCTGAGTCAAAACCAAAGCAGACTGTGAGGAAATCAGTGTGTTATTATCTACTGGGACCTCTGGGTAAAGAAACCAGGAGTAAGAATAAAATGCTACTTTAGCATTTTAGTTCCGTTTATTCAAATTCCAACTGAAGGGCTGAATAAATACGCAGATATGGTATGAATAGGAAGGTAGCCCAAAATGATGCCATTTGAACGTCTCTAGCCTCTGTGACAAAGCAGAAAGACCTCCGCACAAGACGTCAGATGACTGACCCCAGTTCACCCTGGCCCTGCCACTTAACTAGCTTTGCAACCTGAGGCAAACCAGAATCTCTGAGCCTTGACTCTCTGAAACTAATCTGTAAAACAAAGATGGAACAAATGAACATAATTTTTGTGAGAATGAAAATAATAATAAAAGGTATGAGATTTTTTGGTAAACTCTGCTTGATATTTAGAAATCTGGGCTGTTGCTTAAAATACGCTTTTTTAAAAATTTTTAATTTTATTTTTGGCTGCATTGGGTCTTCACTGCTGCACGCGGGCTTTCTCTAGTTGCAGTGAGCGGGGGCTACTCTTTGTTGTGGTGTGTGGGCTTCTCACTGCGGTGGCTTCTCTTGCTGTGGAGCAGAGGCTCTAGGCATGCGGGCTTCAGTAGTTGTAGCACGTGGGTTCAGTAGTTGTGGCTCACGGGCTCTAGAGCGCAGGCTCTGTAGTTGTGGCGCACGGGCTTAGCTGCTCCGCGGCATGTGGGATCTTCCCGGACCAGGGCTCGAACCCGTGTCCCCTGCACTGGCAGGCGGATTCTTAACCACCGCGCCACCAGGGAAGTCCTAAAATACCCATTTGTTTCAGACTCGGTGCTATAAAAGAAAGAAAAAAATCCCACAGACATCCAAATTGGAAAGTGACTTAATTGTGTACCTTCAAGGGAACATTTAATAATTTGGAAAGGAAGCTCCAGGTGGCTGGCAGAGATTGGCTGCACTCTGCAAAGAGGCAGAGTTTCAATGTTTCCATAGTCTGCATAGAGCACTTTCACATCAGCAGCTGACGTCCCCAGAACAATGGCACGGTACCAGAAATCATCACCTGAAAATACAGAGGAATCTCAAGTGAGAAGTTACATTCAATGATGCCCTCCTCCTTTAAGATGGTTATTCACAGTTACATTTACATCACTTAGAAATTCACACCAAGATTTCTGACTTCACGCCAAGGAGTTTAGATTAAATACGAGCATCACATATACTCCTTGCAGATTCTACTCAAAAGACAGTTACAGGACTAAATAGAAAAAGGTCTAAAACCACAAGGATAGAGAACAAGAGGGAAGACAATGTAATAGTGGAAGGTGGAAAGCAAATATGTAAGTGGAAATGATTTAGCAGAGCTCAACTAAAGCTGGGTGTAAAGAAGCCAAGAAGCATCTCAGTTTGCATCTCAAATCCCCAAGCAATCAAGGCTCAATAATTGATGCTACTCATTCAAAAGTTGGAGCAAAGATGGAGATGAAATGGAGATTGAATAACGGAAGCAGAGTTGGTTCCCCAAGGCATGTGAATAAACTTTAGTTTATAAACACATTTACACGTAATATCTATTTTTAAAGTTGCTAAAAAGAATGATCAGTTTTATGTTTACGTGTTTTAATAACACTTAGAAAATTCCCCCTTTTCAGGTAACTGCTCCTACCCATGGGCAGAAGACGAGTTTCCTCTCCAGAGAGGACCAACCAGAAAGACTACAGACTGGGGAACGTGAGGCAGAGCATAGGAGGGAGTTTACAAGACCCCTGTCAGGCAAGCTATGCACTCCAGGGAGGAGACGACCGTCTCAAGCAAAAACACTTCAAGACACCCAGTGGCATCAGGAGTTCCCAGTGAAACTGCAGAGCCAGATCACCCTAAAGGAAAGGCCACTAAGCAGACAAGCTCTGCCTGTGCACAAAGCAACTTCCAATTAGCTTCTTAGTGCTTCACCTTACATAAACGAACAGTGAAAGATAACCAGATAGTAGAATAAAGTCTCTGACATGAAAGAGAAGACTAAAACCAACAGGACCTCAAAGAAACAGAGACCCAAAGACGGAGAAGACCATGAAAATTAAAGAATGATATTAACATCCTTGGAGAAATGACCTTCCATCCTTGAAGCAAGTACAAGACAGTTATTAAAAACCACACACTTGAGAAACAAAAAAAGCTACTGAAACCAAAAATGTGATATTAAAAATGAAATACGGAAGGCTGGAAGAGAAAACTGAGGAAATCTCTTGAAAAAAGAAAAAGAAAAAAAACGGCAAAGGAAACTAGCAGTAGAGTTTAAGTCCAACATGAGAATATCTGGAGTTCATAAAGGAGCAGAAAATAAAAGAAAGGAATAAAAAAATTCAGGAAAAATTTTCAAAACTGAAGCTCATGAATTTCTAAAGGGCCCACTCACTGGGTGCTCAGTACAATGGTGAAAAGAAAACCAGTGCTGAGTCACATCATAAAATTCAGGGGCTTCCCTGGTGGCACAGTGGTTGAGAGTCCGCCTGCCGATGCAGGGGACACAGGTTCATGCCCCGGTCCGGGAAGATCCCACATGCCGCGGAGCGGCTGGGCCCGTGAGCCATGGCCGCTGAGCCTGCACATCCGGAGCCTGTGCTCCGCAGCGGGAGAGGCCACAACAGTGAGAGGCCCACGTACCGCAAAAAAATAATAATAATAATAAAATAAAAAATAAAACTCAAAACTTGGGATGAAAATATTACCAAAAGTTCCAGAAAAGAGGAAAAATATACGTACAAAGTTTGGAGAACCTGAATGACATCTACCTCTCCACCAGCAACACCCACAATGCCTTCAAAATTTTAAGAGAAAGATGATTTCCAACCTAGAATTTTTATCTATAGGTAAGCTACCAAGTAACTATTAGGGTAGAATAAAGACTCTTTCAAACATGAAAGATAACAAAATTTATCTTACATGTACCTTTTCTCAGCTTCTAGAGGATGAGATAGATATACCAAAATATTAAATCAAAAGTAAAGGATCCAGAAAACAAGCTGAGACAAGGGAGGGAGAAATCTAGCCAACAAGGTGGGGTGGGAGAGAAATCCAAGTAACATGGGTTCGTGCTGAAACAATCTCCAGCATGATGGTGAAAGGAAAATTTCAGGATGACAGCTCAGGTCTGGAGGACAAGCAGTCTGGATAGGAGTGTGTCAGAAGGCTTGAGCTGCCTACAATATGATAAAAGTTGATAAAGTACAGGCAGTATTCATGGAGAGAATTTATACCAATGCAGAGAACTGGAGATCATTAGTGAAAGTATATAGGACACTAGTAACAAAAAAGGCTGCAAAAGAAAAATGTAATTATAGTAACTACGTGGGTAGGCTGTGAAGACTGTTTATGCAAAACTAATAACGTAATACAGAATACTTATCTAAACAAAAATTATGACACATTTCTACGGGGAAGAAAGAGAGGGAAACTGCAGATCTAGTTGTCATACAAAAGAAGAGGGAAACGAAATACATTTTTAAACCGTAAATCTAAATTTTAAAGTGAACACTGGGGAACAGAAAAGAATCTTACCTGTGTATCTGGCACAGCACGCATCTCCAATTTTTGGTCTATAGGCCGATCGACTTTTCTGAGCACTGCAATATTCTAACAATTTGGCTGTCAATACACACAGTTTTTCCTGATCTTCTAAAATATATATAGAAAATGTTTTGTGAAGAAATTTTCAATGCTATTTATAATAAAGTATTTATATAAAAAGGGAAGTCAAATCTAATCACTCAAAAAAGAACCCATATATATTAAAATATACATTTATATTTTTAAAATAGATAAAGCCAAAAAAAGATAAAACCACTACTGGTTCCCTTGTGGGGAAGGGATGCAAGACTGGGAGGGGGCAAGAAGGAAGCCACTGGGGGGCAAATTTCTTGATCAGGGTGGCTATTCTAGTGTGTTCATTCTACAAAAACTTGTTCTATTAAGTTGCAGTTTTACGACTGTTCAGTATACTTTTCAGTAAGTGTGTTATAGTTAATTAAATGAAACAAAGTACTTCCAATTCATCATACCATATGTTATGGTCAGGATGCAATAATCCTAAAACGCTGCTTTCCACTATACAGTTTAAAGTTGATTATTCCTAATACTGGAGGATATATTTAAGAGCAGTTATTGTTATCACCACAAATCTTGGTTTGACCACTTGAAAAAAATTTTTTTTCATTTTTTTCAGCTTTCAAATACCTGCAGATTATTTTGAATAGCAAACTTGCACTAACTCAGCCTCTGATACTGCAAGAATAAACTTAAATACGCTGGGGCTTCCTTGGTGGCACAGTGGTTAAGAATCCACCTGCCAATGCAGGGGACATGGGTTCGAGCCCTGGTCCAGGAAGATCCCACATGCCACGGAGCAACAAAGCCCGTGCACCACAACTAGAGCCTGCACTCTACAGCCCGCGAGCCACAACTACTGAAGCCCGCAGGCCTAGAGCCCGTGCTCCGCAACAAGAGAAGCCACCGCAACGAGAAGCCTGCGCACCGGAACGAAGAGTAGCCCCCGCTCACCGCAACTAGAGAAAGCCCGCACACAGCAACGAACAGCCAATGCAGCAAAAAATAAGTAAATAAAATAAATGAATTAAAAGAAACAAGGGCTTCCCTGGTGGCGCAGTGGTTGAGAGTCTGCCTGCCGATGCAGGGGACACGGGTTCGTGCCCCGGTCCGGGAGGATCCCACGTGCCGCGGAGCAGCTGGGCTCGTGAGCCATGGCCGCTGAGCCTGCGCGTCCGGAGCCTGTGCTCCGCTACGGGAGAGGCCACAACAGTGAGAGGCCCACATATCGCAAAAAAAAAAACAAAACTAAAATACACTGAAGAGATGCCTTAATTGTAATCTTTCACGAAATAAAAAAGGAAAAGGAAAGTCAACATTTACACGCTACTTTTCTTCATGATTAGGGCCAGTGTAAAACATTTCTCCAAGTTTCTAAGATACAGTAACACTGTAATTATAGACTGATTAGGAAGTACTTTTCCAACGTATCTAAACTGTTTTGGTTCAAATTCTCGTAATGCTTGCAGAAGGTTAGCTTAGTAATAAGTACAATTCAATACAGACAGTACCTATTTTTAAACAAGAAATTATACAGTAATTAAGGACGTTGCTTTGTTATAAAAAGCTGTAGATGATCAAGACCAGGTGGAGTAGGTGCTGAATGCACGGCATGTTCACATTCATGTTTTTATAATTAAATTTTCCTTAAGTGTTATTATGATCAATTAAAACAGTGAGTGAAACAGAAATCATCACCGTCTTCTCCCCATCACTTCCTAAGGAATTCAGGTAAGTTCATTCTACAGTTTAAAAGACCAGCATAAATGTGTCTCAAACTTTGTTTGGTTTCTTACCTGGCATTTCATTTGGTAGAGCATAAAACAAGTTTGGGTTTACGATTTCTAATATGCTTGCCTGTACAGTTTTATTAACTGGCAATTCTATTGTCCTCCACTGCTCAGCTGAAGAGGTGGCTGAAAACATACGAAATACAGGTCTCTCGTGAAAAAGATAAAATTTAGTATTCTACTGAATACCAACATTCCCAAATTCCCAAAACGAAAATCTGTATTTTCATAAAACAATCTGTTTAATTTGAGGGATTTTGGTGTGCATTACAAAAAAGTTCAATCTATAATAAGAATCCTTAAACTATTATGCTCCTATAGTATATTTCAGTAGTATAGTTCCATTTCTGTAGTATATTTAATTCTTAAAATTTCCTCAAACTTTAAAGGATACATAGCTGTATGATACACGTCTGCCTGACAAGTAATTACATTAAAAATGAGTACAGGGATATCGCAAAAAAAAAAACAAAACTAAAATACACTGAAGAGATGCCTTAATTGTAATCTTTCACGAAATAAAAAAGGAAAAGGAAAGTCAACATTTACACGCTACTTTTCTTCATGATTAGGGCCAGTGTAAAACATTTCTCCAAGTTTCTAAGATACAGTAACACTGTAATTATAGACTGATTAGGAAGTACTTTTCCAACGTATCTAAACTGTTTTGGTTCAAATTCTCGTAATGCTTGCAGAAGGTTAGCTTAGTAATAAGTACAATTCAATACAGACAGTACCTATTTTTAAACAAGAAATTATACAGTAATTAAGGACGTTGCTTTGTTATAAAAAGCTGTAGATGATCAAGACCAGGTGGAGTAGGTGCTGAATGCACGGCATGTTCACATTCATGTTTTTATAATTAAATTTTCCTTAAGTGTTATTATGATCAATTAAAACAGTGAGTGAAACAGAAATCATCACCGTCTTCTCCCCATCACTTCCTAAGGAATTCAGGTAAGTTCATTCTACAGTTTAAAAGACCAGCATAAATGTGTCTCAAACTTTGTTTGGTTTCTTACCTGGCATTTCATTTGGTAGAGCATAAAACAAGTTTGGGTTTACGATTTCTAATATGCTTGCCTGTACAGTTTTATTAACTGGCAATTCTATTGTCCTCCACTGCTCAGCTGAAGAGGTGGCTGAAAACATACGAAATACAGGTCTCTCGTGAAAAAGATAAAATTTAGTATTCTACTGAATACCAACATTCCCAAATTCCCAAAACGAAAATCTGTATTTTCATAAAACAATCTGTTTAATTTGAGGGATTTTGGTGTGCATTACAAAAAAGTTCAATCTATAATAAGAATCCTTAAACTATTATGCTCCTATAGTATATTTCAGTAGTATAGTTCCATTTCTGTAGTATATTTAATTCTTAAAATTTCCTCAAACTTTAAAGGATACATAGCTGTATGATACACGTCTGCCTGACAAGTAATTACATTAAAAATGAGTACAGGGTTTCCCTGGTGGCGCAGTGGTTGAGAGTCCGCCTGCTGATGCAGGGGACATGGGTCCATGCCCCGGTCCGGGAAGATCCCACGTGCTGCAGAGCGGCTAGGCCCGTGAGCCATGGCCACTGAGCCTGCGCGTCCGGAGCCTGTGCTCCGCAACGGGAGAGGCCACAACAGTGAGAGGCCGCGTAACGCAAAAAAAAAAAAAAAAAAAAAAAAATGAGTACAGTGTTTAACAAAAAAAACATGTTTCAATAAATATTAAGCTAACTTTACTTATTACTAATCTATTTCCACAAAGCATATTTCTACAGGAAAATCATGTCACTTGGAACAGAAAAATTTTCACAGCCTATAAAAGCAAAGGATAATGTAAATTTAAATAGCAGTTTAAAAATGTTACCTTGAAGCCATGGGGCATCAATTTGAAGACCACGTTTATTAACAGGACTGTTTTTCACTAAGTCTTTACATGGTGAACTAGCTTTTAAAACCAGATGTTCTTCAATCAGAACATCAGTAATTATCCTGGGATAAGAAGTGGAAAGATCGGTGAGTTCAACTCCCACTCCATTTTCAGTGATTTCTACCACTCGGGCTTGGAGTTTTATCCCTGTGACACACGTCTGAAATCTTGCTATGGCTTCTCTGGTCCAGTGTTTGTTTCTAGGCTGTATATCTAACAAATAAAACAGCATTAAGAAGAATTCTGTCCTTAATATGTTTTCTTTGTATTTAATTTTTGATAGTTTGATTAATATGCACCTTGGCATGTTTCTCCTTGGATTTATCCTGTATGGGACTCTCTGTGCTTCCTGGACTTAACTATTTCCTTTCCCACATTAGGGAAAGTTTTCAACCATAATTCAAAAAGAGTCATGTACCAAAATGTACACTGCAGCTCTATTTACAATAGCCAGGACATGGAAGCAACCTAAGTATCCATCAACAGATGAATCGATAAAGAAGATGTGGCACATATATACAATGGAATATTACTCAGCCATAAAAAGAAATGAAATTGAGTTATTTGTAGTGAGGTGGATGGACCTAGAGTCTGTCATACAGAGTGAAGTAAGTCAGAAAGAGAAAAACAAACACCGTATGCTAACACATATATATGGAATCTAAGAAAAAAAAAAGGTCATGAAGAACTTAAGGGTAAGATGGCAATAAAGACACAGACCTACTAGAGAATGCACTTGAGGATATGGGGAGGGGGAAGGGTAAGCTGTGACAAAGTGAGAGAGTGGCATGGACATATATACACTACCAAACATAAAACAGATACCTAGTGGGAAGCAGCCGCATAGCACAGGGAGATCAGCTTGGTGGTTTGTGACCACCTAGAGGGGTGGAATAGTGTGGGTGGGAGGGAGGGAGACGCAAGAGGCAAGAGATATGGGAACATATGTGTATATGTATAACTGATTCACTCTGTTATAAAGCAGAAGCTGGCACACCATTGTAAAGCAATTATACTCCAATAAAGATGTAGAGTATAATAAAAATAAATAGATGTGGAGTATTAAAAAAAAAAAACAAGAATTCTGTGCCCCAAAGCTGCATTTTTTGCCTCAATAATATCCAGGACTGGACCCTTCCCAAGTTTACCATTCAGGTCAGTGATTTTGAATATCTTTTCTCAATAATCAATTATATATCTACATCCTCAGTGCCTGAGTTGCAGATAATGCATCTACAAATATACTACTGTTTTAGGAGGCTCAGGATCCGTCTTTACCTTCCTCACTAACTTAGCTTCACCTGGCATTTTTCCCAATAGGCAAAAATAGAATTATTATTTCTTTTAGAAGCCACTACGGTTACATACACAATGATGAGTTATCAACTATTCTGGTAAAAGATGTTAAACATACACTTGCACCTTTGTGAACAGTCTTCCAACAATAATTTCAAAATATCATTTTTAATTATTTAACCAAAAATTATCTTTCTGGGATAACTTTGGCTTATACCCTTATTTTCATAACAGTGGTTCTCAAATGTGAGTGTGCATCTGTATTATGTAGAGGGCTTGTGAAAACAGATTTTGGGGCCCCACCCTACAGTTTCCAATTTAGTAGTAGGTCTTGGGTGGGGACTAAGAATCTGCATTTTTAACAAGTTCTCATGTTGATACTACTGGCTGTGGGGTGGAGGGGTCATATTTTAAGAAACACTGACATAAAACATGGTGATTAAAAAAACAATAATCCAAAACATACTTAGTGTAAAATAGGTAGAAAGAAAACAGGCAAAAGAAAAATAAAAAGCATCTAATGCTTCTAGACAAGACCACTATTAACATTTTGGTATCCAAACTTTCATAATCTTTATGTGCATATGGAAATACACACATGCACATATATACACATAATTCTCTTATAAAGAAATTATTATAATAATAAAAATAGTTATAATGTTAGGCACTATTCAGTATTTTATGCCTTGTATCTCTTTTATCCTTAATGCCTTTTTGAGGAAGGTACCGTTATTTTCCAGATGAGGAAAAGGAAGCACAGAGTTTAAACAGTTTACCTAAGGTCTCACAGCTAGTAGGCAGCAGAGCTGCTTCTAATCTGTCCTCTTAATCACAATGCCATCCTGCCATCTCTTTCATAACTTGCTTCCTTCACTTAAATCATGAACTAGTCTTCACATCAACACATATTTAACATTTTAATGACTGTGTAATAAGAACGAACACTTAATAGAACTTTGAGTGCCGGACAGACCCTGATCTAAACATTAATTTAATAATCTTCACAACAAACCTATGAAATAGGTACTACCACTACCCATTATACGGATCCTCATTTAACCAAGCCTCTACTATTGGCTATTTAGGTTGTTTTGCTATTATTAACAGCGGTGTAATGAATTTCCATGTAGGTGAACTTTGTGAAATCACATGATTATTTCTTTAGGATGAATTATTAGAAGTAAACTTGCGAAGACAAAAGGTAAGAATATTTGAGGCTCTTCAGGAATCCTGAAAAATGTCTTCAAAAGAAAGCATCGGTTTTCACTCCTATCGTAAGTATAGAAAAGCAGCTGCTTCCTTACTTTGACATCAACACTGAACATTTTGGCCAGTATCTTTAAATATATGTTTCTAAATTTTATAATATGAAAGAGAAAATAACTTACACAAAATATTAAAATTATAAATATATTAATACTGAGAAATTTATGTACTCTAAGTATTAGAAGACAGTTGAGAAAATTTCTTACTCTGCACCATACCTACTAGCCAGCACTGTATCCCCTGAAATGGAAGTTTTAAAAATTTGGATAGGATCATTTGGACTTCATCTGCAGTAACTTCTTCAATGTTTCCATAATCCACAAACTGTACTTTAACGTTTCCATTTGGTAAGATTTCCTTGACTAAAGCACGATACCAATTACCATCACCTAGATTTAACACAAAATTTGTAACATGGAATATTTCCCTTCTATTAAGGTTTGAAATTTTTATCTTGAAAAAGACCATTCTTTGTCTAAAGTAGCTAATATATTTCTCTTCCCAGACAACACCTTTAGTTTTTAATTCAGAAATCCCTAGAAGGAGAATTCTCAAAATTCATTCTGAGAATGTCACCAGTTTTTATAGCATCACACTTTTATATCTACTATAAAGACTTCATTCATAACTTAACCAATAAGCAGAATATTAAGTGAAGTAAAGACTTAATAAACTTGATATTTGTCAAACTGGAGGACTTATAATATTCTCACCGCTAATGAGATTGTTGCACTTGTTACTTGGTAAATAATAGAAAAAATAAACAGAAAAACATGCAATGAAATTAAGGTGTTTCATCAAACGTATTTTCAAAATAAACATGCACAGGGTGACCAGAAGAAACAATGAATCTGCAGTGAACAGGTTTCCCATTCTCTAACTTTTAATATTATCAGAAATTCTGGAAAGAAAAGCACTTGACAAAGTTAGGTAAGAATGTATCATTTGGAGGCTCCTTGTTACAAAGAGAGAAGAACAAAAAAAACCACGGTATTTTAAGCTTTCATTTAATTTTGATTATGAAAAATATCTGCTTGAAGCAAATACACTAAAAATGAGGTTTGAATGTCAAGAAATAAAAGATTCTAATATAGTCAATATTGTGCCAACTGCAACTTACCTACATAAAAAGCACAACAAGGTTGCCCTACTTCTGCCTTAAAATTATTAGGCAACTTCTGCTGGCAATATTCTGCTACCAATTTGTTCAAGTCACTGAGTTTCTTTAGAGCTGAAAATACAATACACATAGTGTTTAGTATTTAAAAAACATGCAGAGTAACAGATTTTCATTTAAAGTTGGAAAGTGTTTTGATCATAAAAACCCAGGCACAACCCCAAGCAACTATAAAGTACACCAAATACCTCTCCCTTCTCCTTATTAAGAAATTGGGCAAATAAGTCATTATTTAGTTGATACTCTCAGTAAACCCCATACCAACAATTTACTGGGCACAGAGCCATGATGACGGCATTGTTGTCAGTGTGCTAGAGCATGAGCTTTGCATGTGGACCAGGAAACAGTGCACAAGCCTGCACAGAAAGGAAGTTACATATAAGCTGTCCTGAAGGAGTATATGTAATTACTAAATGGTTGGCACAGATAGTGTCTGCTGAGGACTTTCAGAGAGGTGAGCTCTGTGCACTAAAGGTTGCATAGAGAAATCTAAAGTATGACTTGTTTGCTAGAAAAGGAGAGGGTAATTCCAGAAAAAGAAACGGCTCTGAGGCAAAGTACCAAATTAAGCAGCCAAAAAACACGTGCTGGGAGCAGTCTGGCAGAGAAGAGGAATGGAAAGGTGAATCACTGAAGAAAAACACCAGAGATGTGCTTGGAAAGATACAGACCATGGAGAGCTTTAAAATGCCAAGTAAAGGGATCTGAACACTATAGAAGTAAAAGAAAAATATCTTTTAAATATGTGGCAAAGACCCAGTCACAGAAACGGAAATTAAGTTGTATCGAGTTAGAACTGTCACCTTTCAGATTAGTCAAAATAAGAAAGTTTAAGGACACACTGCAGGAAAGGGTGTGGGAGAGGGCACTTTCATACACTGACAGTGGAAATCAGCCTGGATGACCTCTTGTGGGCACTCTCTCAAGAGCACAAGCACACATATCCTTTGACTTAACAACTATTGTACAATTTTAGGTATGTGTCTCAAGGATATAGTCTCAGAATAAAATCACCAATTACAAGAATTGTTTTCAGTAATAAATGCTTGTACACAGGAATCCTTTAGCTAGCTGTACCTAGGTTAACTAAATTAGGGTAAACCCACCCAGAGGAATACCACGTAACCATGAAAAGGAATGAGGACGTACAGTGATGTGGTACCCTGGAACAGAAAAAGGCCATTACCAGAAATGGAAAAGACATCTAGCGAAACCCAGATAAAGTCTGGAGGTTAGTTCATAGACATTTACCGATGTGGGTCTCTTAAGTTGTAACAAATGTTAACATCTTACATAATTGTGGTACTATAGAGAAAACTAGGGGTATACAGGAACTCTCTGTACTATCTTGGCAACTTTTCTGTAAATCTAAAATTATTCCAAAATTAAAAGTATATTTTTAAAAGAACGGAGGAAACACTATGTGAACTGATATCCAAGACAGAGTGGGAGAAAAAGGCAAAGTGCAAATATTATTTATTTTACCATTTATGCCTACATAAAAAGGAATATATGTATTCATACAAGCCTATGTATAGAGCAACTTTGGAAAGATATTAAGAACACTGAGAAAAGGAACTGGAAGGATATTTAGAAATCTGAGAAGAGGAACTGGGAAACTTAACTTTTCACTATATTCTCTTTTGTAACTTTAAAATTTGTACCATATGCTTGTACAATCACTTATGAAAATAAGTGGCAAATATTTTAAAATAGTAGCCTATCTACCAGATGATTCTGTATGAAGGGATGACAAATCTCACAAGTTGGGAGCCAGTCAGGAACTTAGTTATCTAGGGTAACATCCTTATTTGACAGAGAGAAAACCCAAAACTTAGAGAGGTTAAAATCAATGATGCTCACCAGAATGGCTCAAGGGAAAAAGACGGAAAATACAAAGTGTTTGTGAGGATGTGGAGCAACTAGAATTCTCAAACCAACAACTGCCATGATCACTTTGGAAACTTTTTAGCATTCACTGATCAGAGCTGAAAACACACATACCCTTTAAGATTTGGCCAGTAATTTCATTCCTAGGTACATGTTCAATGGAAATGAATGTGCGCTAAATTTGTATGAGAATATTCTTACCAACATTTTATAGCTCAGAACTAGAAATAACCCGTATGTCCAAGAGTAGGAAGAAACAGTAAACTGCAGTACATTCATACAACGGATCACTATGCAGCAACAAAAAACGAGCTACAGTCACACGTGAAAATGATGGTCCAAACTCACAAATGTGAAAAAAAAAAGCAACAAGGCACAGAAGAGTACATGTTGTATGATTCCATTTATATAAAGTTCATAAATGGGAAAAACTAATCTATGCTATTATTAGAAGGCACGATCATATTTACTTCTGAAAGAAAGAAGTGGCAGTGATTGTCAGCAGACACGAAGGAAACTTCCGGGTTACTGGTAACCAGAGGTTGGTTATACAAGGTTTTGACTTTGTGATAATTTGTTATGCTGCACTCATATTTGTGCACTTATCTGTATGTATGTCGTACGTCAATGAGATCAACAATTAAAATTTTTCAAAAATGAATTTAGGAGACGTTCTGTGAAATCTAAGCTGGTTTAAACAGAGACTATTGAAAACAGAAAATAATGTCTTACAATGGAATAAAAGGCAACCAAGTAAAACCAAATCTTTCTTGAAAGTACAAATACCCACTTGGTCTTTACTGGAAAGAGAACAGTTTCACCACCCAATAACAAACTCATCTTGACCTATTATCTATGCCAGTGTACTGTAAAAAGAAATAAGTAAGAGTCAACTTACCATCCTCTTTAAGCACATGGCAGTAAAATTCTCCAGGACTATACATCACACAGACCACAACATCTACTGTCTGATCAACAGCAAGTTCAACCCACGTCCACTTCAACAGACTGATTTCTGCTTCTACACCCGAGGGAACTGTGAAAATAAATGGACGATTTGCAAAACAAACGGCCAGAGCAGGGAGTTGGAGGCAGGGCTGCTAAAGAGTCTGCTTTTGAAGAACTGAATGTCCAATGACTTTCTTAGTGACTTTGCAGGGAAGTTAATTAGTATGAGAATTAACCACTGCTACCTCACTGAATTCCAAATTTCAAATTCACATTTCTGATCGACCTTCAGCTGCCAGTGACCCAAACACACTCTTTAGATGAATGCTTGATTTAAAAGGACAAAAGGTGCTCAACATCAATTCTTGTTTAAAGTATGAGAACCCATACATTCACAAAGCCACCTGAATTCCAGCACGGACATTATCTGGTGGACAATTTACTTACCACTGGCTTCTTTCACGTCACTGGGCTTATCTGTCACTACCCCCTTGTCCCCCACGGCAAAGCCTGCATCGATGAGGACTTTGGTGACACTGATGTGGGGCCTCACAGACCTATCCATAAGTTCCACCAGGGAACTGTTTTCCAACTTGTCCACCACTTTCACTGTGATCATTTTGTTCTGTACAACTTTTCTCATCAGATAAATAGCTTCTGGAGTCCAAATTCCTAATGATGGCTTTACTCCTAACAAAGAATTTTTAAAAGAATGTTAAAATATTTCTTATTGTAAGCCTTTACAAATTTAGCTCCTAATTTCCACAAACTTAAGGACTCTATGACAGACACTGGAACCAGAAAGTCCCATCTGAGAAGGATTTTCTAAACACGAAAATGAAGGCAAAATTATAAAGAAAAGGTCTGTAAAACACTTCTGTATTTCTATGTAAACAAACCATCATAAATCCATTGATACGAAATGTCCAAAGAGGCAAATCTAGAAGACCGAAAGTAGATTAATGGTTGCCTAGGAAGCTAGGATTAACTATATATAAATGGGCACAAGAGATCTCCGTGGGGTGATGGAAATATTCCAAAACTAGATTATGGTGATGGCTGTACAACTCGGTAAATTACCAAAAATCACTGAATTGTATACCTAGAACACTGATTTTTTTGTTTTTTGGCTGTGCTGTGCGGCTTGCAGGATCTTAGTTCCCTGACCAGGGATCAAACCCACGTCCTTGGCAGTGAAAGAGTGGAGTCTTAACCACTGGACTGCCAGAGAATTCCCTAAAACAGTGATTTTTATGGTATATAAATTATATGTCAATAAGGTTAAGAAAATCACAAACAAAAGTATAAAACAATCCAGGAAGAAACACCAGTCACTAATACTGACATCTGAAACATCTGTAGCATTTACTGAAAGGGCACTTACAAATCAACAACCCCAAAGTTATACCAAGTCATTTCATAAAATTAAGAACCAAGTAACTTATGAAAAAACATCCAGTCTCACTGGTAATGGAGCAAATTAAAATGATTTAGTTTTTAGCTTATCAAAATTGGCCAAGATGAAATAATACAGAAATATCTATTGGGCAGGACCAAAGTACCTTCAATTTTTTAAATAAAAGACATTTTTCATTTTCAGTTAAGACCTTTATTGAACAACATATTCACCCTTTTGTTCCACACCTTCTGTCATTTTTCAGGCAACTTCATAATTCCATCTTCCCAAAACTTTTTATCTTTTTGAGCAAAGAACTGTTCCAGGTACCTTTTACAGTCTTCCAGGGAATTGACATTTTTTCCATTAAGAGAATTTTGTAAAGACCGAAATAAATGGAAATCTGAAGGTGCAGTGTCTGGTGAATACAGCAGATGAATCAGAACTTCCCAGGCAAGCTGTAACAGTTTTTAACTGGTCATCAGAGAAACATGTGGTCTTGCGTTATCCTGATGGAAGATTATGCATTTTCCGTTGAGTAATTCTGGATGCTTTTCGTCGAGTGCTGCTTTCAGTTGGTCTAACTGGCAGCAGTACTTGTTGGAATTAATCCTTTGGTTTTCTGCAAGGAGCTCCTGATAGAGGACTCCCTTCCAATCCCACCACGTACACAACATCACCTTCTTTGGATGAAGACTGGCCTTTGGTGTGGTCGGTGGTGGTTCATTTCGCTTGCCCCATGATCTCTTCCATTCTACATTATTGTACACTATCCACTTTCATCACCCGTCACAATTTGTTTCAAAAACGGAACGTTTTCATTACGTTTCAGTGAAGAATCGCATGCAGAAATATGATCAAGAAGGTTTTTCTCGCTTAACTTATGTGGAACCCAAACATCAAAGCGATTCACATAACCAAGCTGGTGCAAATGATTTGCAGCACTCAATCTGGGTATTTTGAGTATGTCAGCTCTCTCCCGCGTGGTATAACGTTGACTGTTCTCAATTATTGTTTTTTGATTTGACTGCTATCAACTTCAACTTGCCTACCCGACCGTGGAGCATCGTCCAGAGAGAAATCTCCAGCACGACACTTCACTAACCACTTTTGACACGTTCGATCAGTCACAGCACCTTCTCCACAAATCTTTTTGTGCATTTCAGTTGCATTTTTACCTTTCTTGAAAGAATAAAGCATAACATGCCAAAAATGTTGCTTTTTTTCTTCCACCTTCAACATTAAAACGGCTACACAAAAATTCACCAATTTTGATGTTTTTTTAAACGCACGCTGATATGACAGCTGTCACATACAATCTAACAAAACTGTTTCGAGTGAAGTTGAAGACAACTAAGTGCTACTAGAGCCATCTTACGGAAAAAAACAAACGAACCTTTTGGCCCACCCGGTATCTGGTGCGCCAACGTGTCAGGGAGCTGACGCCCTACTACGTTTCCGGTAGGTGTGTAAACTAGTTCTACCTCTTCCAGGGGACAATCATAATACGTATCACAAACATGAAAAGCACACCCACTGACACCTCCACTCCACCTAAGGCGGTATTTTTGTAAATGCAAGTACATTTTGCAACCTATCCCAAGGAAATGATCTTTTTTTAAAAATTAGTTTTTTAAAAAAGATCATTAATTTTTAATTGAAGTATATTTGATTTACAATACTGTATTAGTTTCAGATGTACAACGCAGTGATTCAGTATTTTTATAGATTATAGATTATAGTCCACTTAAAGTTATTATAAAATATTGGTTATATTCCCTGTGCTGTACTATAACATCCCTATAGCTTACTTATTTTATACACAGTAGTTTGTACCTCTTCCTAAGGAAATGATCTTGGATAGGCTGAAAAATTTAGTTAAAAGAACACTGCTAGTAGCAGAAACTTGGAAATATCCTCTGATAACTGGATACTAGTTAAATTATAGTGCATGTGAATGAAAAGTTGTAGAAGCTAATCTTTTATGCTGGAAAGAAGCTCCTGCTCCTAGCGAAACATGTTACATATACAGTTATTTCTAAGCATATAATCGTTGATGTTCTTGCTTTTAAAAGCAGTTTCCCCCTAATTCATGCAATTGACAGGCTTCTGTGATACGGATTGATAATGCAGGATCTATAAATAACAAAAAAGAATACTCAATTTCATAAACACAGGTACATTCAACTTCATTCTATTACAGATAGCAAAATAGTCATCTGTATTTCCTAAATGTTCCATTAAGGATTGTTTTTGTACTGAGCTAAGTTATAGCTAAACACATTCCCTGATCTACTCACTAGTTTAATTTCAATTCTAGTGCTCTTAACTTTAAGTTTCAATATTTTAAGAATACAGGAACTATAAAAATTACATACCTGCCAGCACACACTTAATAGCTTGCATTGGCAATTCCAACAACTTCGGAGTTATGGGGCAAAGTCTTGTCAAACTAAGGATTTCAAAGTTTCCATAGTCTACATATCCAACCAGTACAGATTCCTCAGAAGCATAAGCCAAAACAGAGGCACGGTACCACTGGTCATCCTCTAAAAACAGGAGAGACTCAATCTGAAATGATTTTCCAATATAGATATAAACAAAAATTTTTCCTCCTCAATTTAGATGGTCATTTGTAGATTCTATTTTCATGTAACATCAAGCTTTACTGAACTATGCATGCTTATTCACCATTCCTACTTTTCCTTATCAGAAGCTTTCAACTCCTGAAATGTCACCTTTATTCACCCCTTTCTAGGTAACTCATGTTGTATGCTTGTCATTATTTATTTAAATGCTTAATCCCTCTAGTGGACAGTTAACTCATTAGGACAAGGGAACATGTCCTGGTCATGTGAGTGAATCCATTAGGTCTTGATCAATTTTAGAATACCTGGCAGTATGAGTCAACCAGACTCCACTAACCAAGCCATAGATTTACTGGAGGCCACTGGTCCTCCCTTCAGCAGAGAACTGAACCCGGTCATCACAGGGTCATCATCTGTGCAGCTACAGAGGCCGGGCCACAACAGCTATGTGCCTCCAGACACTCTTGCTGTTCCAAAGAAAACTGGCCAAGACATGACCCTGGGAGGTTCCACATTCCCACGCTGATATAAACAAATGTCTGTATCAGTCTCCAGAACTAAAGGGCTGATAAAATAAAAACCTCCATCACCGCCCCCCCTGCAGCATTTACAGGTCCTCCTCCTCCCTTACACACTTTGATTCAGTTTAATTAGATATTAAAACTTTAAAATTGGATATTAAAAATGGATATTAAAAACATATTTGGTGCACTACTCAAACTTCAAATGCAGCCATCCAATGCAAAACGAAGATTGTTTCATTTCTTGGTACTTAATTGTAAGTAAAAAATTCAATAATACTCTCTTTTCCTCACCAGAGAACTGAGCACAGCAGATATCACCAATGGTTGGATAAAAATCAGAGCGTGGAGACACTTGACTGCAGTACGCGTTAAGTGATGCCTGAAGTTCAGCGAGCTTATCTGTGGATACAGATCACATCTTAAACTAAAGAAATACAAGTTTACACATTATCTGCATATCTGCAAGCTGAGTCTCTTGATGTATGTTATATTGATAACACAAATCAAGATTTACTTACGCCCACTTTGTAGTCGTTGACAAAAGAAGTCTTCTGGAGTCTGAATGTGGGCGACCACACCGCAAAACTCATCACCTACATTCAAAGTCAACACTTTGGGAATTAGGCCACTTCTGTCTACAACAATTTTGTTTTCAGCTGTGATTTTCCTGACATCTTCAAGATCACCTTATCAAAAAGCAGAAATATAAGCCTTTTTGGTTTCATTAATCCAATTTTCCAGTTTCTCAGACCTAACTGTGCTCTTTCACACTTCTAGGCTTTAATTCTGGTCTTTTTTCCCAGAACATACTCCCAAATCTCCCAGCAACTTGAGTATTTCCTGCTCAGTATGATGTCACTGTGAAAGGCTTTCCTCCAAATCTGGGTCAGGTGCCCTTCCCAGGGCCCCCACTGCACTCTGCGATTCTGCCACCGTTTTATAATCTCTTCTCTATGTGGGAGTATACTGCCTACAGAATACGTTCCCTGAAGGCACCTCCACAGTGCCTTAGTGAAGCAGATACTGCTGGGGGGATTTTGTTCCTTCCACTGGACCCCTTTGCAGCATTTATTATTGCTGATGACTCCTTCCCAGAACATTTACTCTTCTGTTATCCTGGCAACATTTTCCCCATTCTCTTTCCACCTCTCCCATCACAGCTTCTCCCTTGGTATTGTAAGCTCAGGTTCACTTCTCTCACTTTACACTCTCCCTAGGACACCACCATCATTTACAATTTCAACCGTGGTAACTTTTAGACCAGTAAGTATTGAGTTTTCTCCTCCAGATGGCAAAAAAAACTCCTGAGAACTGTTCAGCAGAGCTGTCTCACCCAAGATTGATGTTTCAGGGATTTCATATAGGCAGTACGCTAGGAGTACAGACAAGAGACAATAACTTCTTCAACAACTAAAATCGCTACACCATTCAATATTAATCTGTATACTCACTTGAATCTGCACTTTGCTTCTTAGAATTTTGTCCCTTGGGTTTCAAGCCATATCCCATTTCTATGAGCACATGGTCTAAGAATTTTCCTAAAAGTGATTAAGAGAACATATTTCCGTTGAGATATTATACTAAGTATTAGAGGAAAAGAATAAATACAAAAGAAATGAGTCAATCACATGATTTAAAAATTATAGCTATTGGCACACCGGCATATTTTTTTACTAGTTCATATTTTTTTACTAGTTCATATTTTTTACTAGTTCTATGTGCAAAATATAGTTTATTAATTTTCAGCTTTAAAAATTGAGTCAAGGGGCTTCCCTGGTGGTGCAGTGGTTAAGAATCTGCCTACCAGTGCAGGGGACTCGGGTTCGTGCCCTGGTCCAGGAATATCCCACATGCCGCGGAGCAACTAAGCCTGTGCACCACAACTACTGAGCATGCACTCTAGAGCCCACGAGCCTCAACTACTGAGCCCGTGTGCCACAACTACTGAAGCCCGCACACCTAGAGCCTGTGCTCTGCAACGAGAAGCCACCGCAATGAGGAGCCCATGCACTGCAACAAAGAGTAGCCCCCACTCGCTGCAACTAGAGGAAGCCTGCCTGCAGCAACAAAGACCCAATGCAGCCAAAAATAAATAAATTTATTAGAAAAAATTGAGCCAAAATCCCCACCATCACTTAACAAAAAATTTAATCAAAATATTTCACTTAAAAATTATGAGTAACATGGAAGATTTAGTCACCACCTCACTGGCATGCTTAGAATGACCACCATTTATAAGAAAAAATAAATTTAAGACATAAGACTACTTCATCTCAGACATAAAGCATGGCTGAAACAAGTGTCAACCAGCAGCCACATAAACTTCAAGTTCCCTCAAATAGTATCCAAAAGCTCAAGTCATAACATGGAATATACACAACAAGGAAACAAAACACAGATTTTTTACTTAATTTCACAACAGGATTGACTGAATTTTCTACCAAGTAATCAACCAATGATGGGTCTCAAGCAATAGAAGAGTCATAATAATACCTTGGAAAACAAGAGGCACTTATAAGCGCACTGTCAGAAGTCACTTTTTAAATATGTACAAAGCCGTATAGGAAGAACAGGATTCCAAACTGCTTCCATTTCCGCAGCTTAAATACTATGTGCTTATGGGCTTAATGCTAACCAAATGCAGTTCTGTGAAGGTTGTTCAAAGAAAAAGCACTGATGGTAAGGATGGACAAATTCACAGAAAAATTCCTGAATATTCCCAGTAAATGAGTAGAAATCAGGGGTATTATAATGGCTGTATTAAAAAGATACTAGAGTTTTCCCATAAGTCTAGATCTAGCCTTTTAATGTACCCAATTCCATAAACTTGTGCCTTGTCTTTGATAAACTGCCAACTGCAAGAGCAGAGCCAAGGCCATATTCCCCATCACAATCTGAATGATTCCAGAGTGGGGCTTACTTGGTCTCACTTCATGCTTCTATTTCTTCTCTGAGTAACAGGTGGGCACTAAATAACATATTAAGCACTCCATTTAAAAAGAAAGATTCAGATCTTACCTGAACTTGTCAGCATAACATCCACAGCAAAGGAAATCACTTCTTCTTTTAAGATGTCCACAATCTTTAGAGAGCAGTACTGCTCCATTAACAGTGATTTAATACTTTTGATACAATCATTGCTCCAATTCCCCTCTGCTGGGATAACATTGGCTACAAAGCATTTTATGGCCTGAAAGATTTTACACAAGTTACTAAAAATTAGTATTTGAAAGTGACTTTTTTCTAATTAATTATGCCAAGATTTTTTTAAAGACAAATTTCATGCTGAATATTCATCAAAAATCTTCAAGTACTAATCCGATAAACAATTTTATGAATAATTATTTGTCTCTCTTGATATTCTATCCACAATGCTTTTCCTTTTGGGACTTGAAGTTTGAGAAGTTAATCAAAGGATGGTTATTATCCCTCAATTACACATAAATTCAAGTCTCTTCCAAATAATGTAATAAATATAAAAATGATTGTTTTTAAAGAGTAGATTGATAAGATGTCCCTAAAAATGCTAAGTTTCCTACCTGAGGCAGTACTTAACTAAGTAATGCCTAATAAAATGGAGCCAAGAAAGTCCATGATTGTTTCTCTACATAGTAAAAGATACACCAATAGGTCCTTTCTCATAATAACCATGGCAACAAACACACAAATATTGTGTCCATCAAAACATTAAAAACAGCTCCTTTGGGATGCTACTAGGAATTCAAAAAGTAAAAGAGACTTACACAAGGAGGAAACAAGTCAATTTTTCTACTTAGTTGGTGAATTCTGTTTACTGGAATTATTTCTTCATTTCCATAATCAATATGTAAGACTTGTGCCTTCTTCTGCAGCACATCAACATCTTGTATTATTACTCTGTTCCAGGTCTGAAAGTGAAATATAACGGTATTCTGCTTCTAAACAGCATTTCACCATCTTAGGTTTAAAAACTCTCAATCTACAGGACATGCAAAGGAAAAGTTACTGTTCTGTTCTGAGATTACTCTATTAACAAGTTACCTTAATTTCCTAAGAATCTGGCTCAGAAATCCCCAAATTTGTCCATTTTAGATGCTTTAATATACACAACAATACCCGGGCTATTCTAGCCCAGCGGACTCTGTGACACACTAATGCCTCAGTTACACAAATAAACACAAGCTCTAGGACTAGCAATCATTCTGTACCCAGCAACTGAGGAGCCTACATGCAGAGCTGGAGAGGCCTCAGGCAGGGAGGAAGTAAGCAAACAGATGTGGAGTCCTGACTGAGGAACAAAAACAGCAGGGTGACCAGAGTCTCACCTCCAGCCATCTAATGCATCATTAAAAGCTCTGGTGTCAAGCTGATAGGACCAAAGTAAATTAAAATGTCTTGTTAAATATTTCATTAGGGGTTACCTGATCGACAGTGTACTTGGCAACACAAACTTCCCCCTTTACAGGAATATAATCTTCTTCACGTGCCTTATTTGCATATGTTTCCTTTAAGCTCGCAGACAGCTGGTTCATGTATTCTAAAACTTCTGAAGAATGTAACTGCACATAAAAGTCACCTGGGTGTTTGAATTCAGTAACTATACCCTTTCAAAGACAAAAAAGTTGCAATAACTCACTGAGAACAGAGCAAATGTTAATTTTGTAAAGCTTTATAACAAGATACAAAAAGTACTGTAGACAAGTTTTTGCAATCTTTATCAATTTCAGTTGTATTTTGGAGCTGTCTTATAAACTCAAACACAGGAAACAAGGAAATAAAAATCTATAGTTCTTTGGATCTCTGTCTATGGAAATTAAACAACAAATACCTTTATTTCCATGGTTTTCCTGAGTTGTAGGCTTCTCAAATCAGAAAACATTATTTTATCAGCACAAATGGCTATTTCTTTAGTAACTCCAAGAGGACAGTCACTCTGGTTTGAAAAAACACATTGAGTGGGTTACAAGCACATGTTTAAATGATACCATGGCCGGACTTCCCTGGTGGCACAGTGGTTAAGAATCCGCCTGCCAATGCAGGGGACACAGGTTTGATCCCTGGTCCGGGAAGATCCCACCTGCTGCAGAGCAACTAAGCCCGTGGGCCACAACTACTGAGACTGCTACACAGTTGTGAGCCACAATTACTGAGCCCGTGCATCTAGAGCCCATGCTCTACAACAAGAGAAGCCACTGCAATGAGAAGCCCGTGCACCACAACCAAGAGTAGCCCACAATCACCGCAACTAGAGAAAGCCCACGTGTAGCAACGAAAAGCCAATGCAGTCAAAAATAAATAAATAAAAAATAAAAAAATAACGTAAAATAAAATAAATGATACCATGGCCACTATTTGCTAGAACCGAGGTCAAAACAGCCTGACTCCCAGGTTTGAATGAGGGTGTAGAGAAATAACATACGTCTTCTAGAGTCACTAAAACACCGTCCATAGGCAGTGTGCATAGCACTGGGATCACCCGAGAATCAGGCCATGATGGTGATGGCAATGCTGAGGTTATTTTTTAAAACGGGGTGGGGAGGGTAGTATTTTAAGTTTTCACTTGTTAACATTTTTATAGGAATGGATTTTTTTTTTTTTAAGTAGAAGCTAGGACCAGCTAGAGAAAGCTAAAATTTACCTATAAAATATGAGTTGGACATCACTGATATTTTCCAGATTGCAAATGATTTACCCCATACAGTTACCTACATGGAAGAAAAGTATTAACAGGAAAAAGTGCTCCTTAGATAACAGGACCCTATTAGAATCCAATACATAAAGCTAGAGAGCATGTGCATGCAGGGACTACAAAGAGAGGACTTTCTCAGTAGTCCACCTACAGCGAGACACGGCCATCTCAAGTCCTTTTTGGAAAAAAGCTGGGCATAAACAGTTCTCATAGACCCCCAATGCTCCCCAAATCTATCATTAGGGTGTACAGATTTATTCAACAGGAATAAACAAACACTGGTGAAATGGAGAAATAAGTCATAAATATTTTATTTAGCTTAAGTCCTCATTTCAAAATAAAGGGAGTCATTAAAAATTCACTCTAAAGGCAAAGAGAAGTATATCATACCTCTTTTTTCACTTCGTTCTTTGTTTCAAAAGGTGATTTATTATCTTCAAGTTTGTGGAAACTGTAATAAAGCAACCAATTATAATGCTTACAGCACAGAACCAATTAAGAGTAAGGGCCACAATAATGTTAAATTCTCAACAAAATCCAGAAAGAGCAAAACAGCTTCTTCCAGAAAGAATCACAGTAGTAACAAAGTAAAACAACCCCATGCTGGCTATGCAAGGGTCTGCCCTGTGCGCAGGTGTGCTTCTTCCAAAAGTCACCTAATGAAAGGGAGATAGCCACAATCTCCAAGCCTCAGTTTCCCTATCTGCAAAATGGAGATACTACCTACATTACTTAAAACAGAGTTCTGGGGATCAAAAATTGTAGACCTGTTCACTTCAGATTTTATGTTATACTTAAATAAAAAAGTAAAAAGCAGCAACTTTTACATAGTTATGGCCTGCTTACCTGATTTGATCCTTATACTACCAAAAAAAAAACCCGTATTTTAAAATATTCTCTAATGAATGTAAAAAAAAAAAATCACACTTACTTCTGCTGAACGGGTTTGCACACGATGCTGTGGGCTGCCCAGTCCCTTCTCTGGCATGCGACAGAGCAGTAGTACGTCTGCTTGCACTGTGAGCACCTCAGCGGCCCTACAGAACACAGCCCATGACACCACCAGTGTCTTATTGCAAATATTTGTTGGCAGGAACAAGACCGTTTCAAAGACGTCATTCTATTAATCATATCAAGGAGAATATGTGAAGAGGATTATGCTGTTTATGATTAGGTGTTAAAACTGAATTTATAAGGCTTCCCTGGTGGCACAGTGGTTGAGAGTCTGCCTGCCAACGCAGGGGACACGGGTTCATGCCCCGGTCCGGGAGGATCCCACATGCCGTGGAGCGGCTGGGCCCGTGAGCCATGGCCGCTGAGCCTGTGCGACCAGAGCCTGTGCTCCGCAACGGGAGAGGCCGCAACAGTGAGAGGCCTGCGTACCGCAAAAATAAACAAACAAACAAAAAAACTGAATTTATAAAGCTCCCTTGAACTGTAGAGAAAGGGGAGTGCCAAGATGAAAAAGAGAAGGAGGACATGAGACAGGCTGGGACCTGGGCCCCTTTGCCCCAGTGCTTGCACCTGGACACACCTCTCCTCGAGCCACAAAATACAAAGAAACCGTACGGGACTAAAGATAACTGCGTGCATGTGCAGTTGGGGCAAATTCTGGACAGAAGATACCAAGAGGCCAGAAAAACCCAACTGCCACTTTTAACGAGCCAGGAGCAAAACCAGGAGGTCGGGAGGAAAAGCAGCGTACTGCACATGCCCCCTGCACACGATATCATCTTAGGTGGGCAAACCGCCTAAAGTCACCCCGCCGGCCTGACCCCTGGACACACTCCTACCCTCACCCCATATAAGCAACAAGCTCACCCCCCACTCAGGGAGTGAGCAAGCAAGAGAACCTGCTGTTTGTTCTCACTCCCCCTGCTGCCCCAATAAAGCCTTGCCTGAATTTCTTGCCTGTCCTCTGATCAATTTCTATTGACTGGGGAAGGCCAAGAACCCTGGTTGTTATCAGACAGACTGGAAACACAACTGACTTTCCTAAAGCAGAACCCAGAACACATGATATAAAAGGAACAATCAAAGGGAACAGAAAATCCACAGTGGTGAAAAGAGGCATGTGCAAGCACAGTCTGATGAGGTTCACCTCATGCCATTTAAAAATAACAAGACAAAAACCAACAAGGAGAATCACACCTAGAAAAACCCAGGAAGTTTTTGAAATGAAGTTTAAAAAAAAAACCTATCAGTTTCCAGGCAGAGGAAAACAAGTTATCTGAAAAACAAAACAAAAAATACATAAAGAAACAATGAAGTCCGGCTGGCCTCAAATGCCTCCACTCTAAAAGAAATTGGAAAAAAGAACCGAAGTATCCAAATAGCCACTGAGCACAGGAAAACTGCTCAAGATCACTGATCATGAGGGACATGCAAATTAAAACCACAGGGAGGGGCTTCCCTGGTGGCGCAGTGGTTGAGAGTCTGCCTGCCGATGCAGGGGACACGCGTTCGTGCCCTGGTCCAGGAAGATCCCACATGCCGCGGCGCAGCTGGGCCCGTGAGCCATGGCCGCTGAGCCTGTGCATCTGGAGCCTGTGCTCTGCAACGGGAGAGGCCACAACAGTGAGAGGCCCGCGTATCACAAAAAACAAAACAAAACAAAACAAAAAAACCACAGGGAGATACCACTACACATCCATGAGAAGGGCTAAAATTAAAAGGACTGAAAACACCAAATGTTGACAAAGATGTAGAGCAACCAGAACTCACTCCCAGTGGGAATACAAAATGGGACAACTACTTTGGAAAACGGTTTGGCTTTTTCTTATAAAGTTAAGCATACACTTACCTTTTGACTCAGCAATCCTACCCCTAGGTTTGTACCCAAAAGAAACGGGAACATATGTACACACAAAGACTTATGCAAAAATGTGTAGAGAGCTCTATTCATAATAGCCAAAAGCTGGACACAAGCGAAATGTTCAACAGAACAGATATACACATTGTGATATCGTGCAATGAAATGCTACTCAGCAACGAACAAAAAAATTAATGTACATGCAAAAACATGGATTAAACTCAGAAATATTTTCTGAACAGGAAAAGCTTCGCACCGAGTCTATATTGTATGATTCCATTTACAAGAAATTCTGTAACTGGTAAAATTAATTTACGGTGAAACAACAATAGTGGTTGCCTCTGGGGGGTATAGTGACTGGGAAGGGACATGAGAGAACCTTCTGAGAAGATGGAAGTATTCTTCATCTTGATTGGGCTATGAGTTTGTGCCTTTCAGTGCAAGTATGTTTTATCTCAAAAAAAGTATAAAAAATAATCAAGTAAAGAAGCATGGGGCTTCCCTGGTGGCTCAGTGGTTGAGAGTCCGCCTGCTGATGCAGGGGACACGGGTTCGTGCCCTGGTCCGGGAAGATCCCACATGCCGTGGAGCGGCTAGGCCCATGAACCATGGCCAGTGAGCCTGCGCGTCCAGAGCCTGTGCTCCGCAACGGGAGAGGCCACAACAGTGAGAGGCCCGCGGACCAACAAAAAAAAAAAAAAAAAAAAAAAAAGCATGGATGAACAAGAATGGTAGGATGTTGGCAGCTGTTGAAGCTGGGAAATGGGTATATTATTTATATATACTCTTCTGTTTATATTTTATGTTTTACATAATAAAAATATTTTTCAAATGTGTAAAGGAATAATCTAACAGGCATCTGAGAGCAACATGCTTACCAAACAGACCACAGCGATGGCAAGTTGTCGATCGAAGAGGAGGTCCTAATGAGCTGAAGAGTGCTGGATCATTTATGGACAAGGAACTCTCAACCAACTTGTGTACTTTTTTTGATTTTGCAGGAGACACATTATTGCTAGTCTTCTATTAAGAAAAGAGAATAGCAGTATTAAAACTTGGTAATAATGTTTTGTTTGTTAAATATTAGATTTGGGATTTCCTCTGCCGAGGAGATAAGATAGATGTACTTTCCCTTACTCCTACGATTAAGTACAACTAAAAACCTTGGACTTATATATAAAATAAACATACAGGGACACTGAAGGACGGCAGCAGACAGGCTAGAAACTTGGCACCCAGAGAAGGACATGGCAGTGAGTCCCCAGAGTTTTTATTCTGCCTCATATTTCCCAGATGCGGTGCTGGAGAAGTCAGAAACACCCAAAGGCACAGACGATAAAAGCCCCAACAAAAAGCCTGCTCGCTTGCTCTCTCTAGCCAAAAGACCAGGAAAGGGATGGCCCAGCCAGAGATAAAAACTTTATCAGTAACTGCTCTACTCCAGACAGTTGCCTCAGAACAACCTGTGGCCCCATCCCACGGGCAAAGGTAGACTGGGGAGCCTACACCTCCACCTTCACCAGGCTACAGTGAGGTGCCCCTCTCTCCCACTTGGGTGGTATCAGAGAAGGCCAACAGAGTAGGGAGCCAGCACTTCATCCTCGTGGGGTCTCCCTGTGGAGACTGCATGGGGAGCACGGACTTCTGCCTGGCAGTAAAGAGTGTCCCCCATGCCCCCCAACTACCAGCACCACTGGGGTGGTGTTAAGAGGAAACCTAGTGGACAGTCAGGATTTTCCACCACCATTCAATAGTAATGAGTGGAGTGTCTCCAAACCCTTCCACCTCCAATCCTCCCTCCACCTCGTGTTAAGTACAGAGGATATGGGGGGGAGCAGTAAGGATGCTGGGAAGCTGAACTCCCACCCTTGTCCAGCCAAGAACATCCTGGGCCACAGAACAAACTTCAACCAATTTAAAAGAATTTAAATCATACAGACGGTGTTATTCAACCACAATGGACTTACACTAGAAATCAGTAACAGAATGAGAACAGATAATCTCTAAACATTTGGAAACTAGACAATACACTTCTAAATAACGCATGAGTCAAAGAGGATGTCTCAGGGAAATGTTTTAAAAATACGCTGAACTAAAAGAAAATAAAAATAAAACATATCAAATTTGTGGGACACAAAGTATCGCCAAGACAGAAATTTATAGCTCTAAAGTCACATACTAGAAAAGAGATAAAGTCTCAAATTAATAATGTAAGTTCTCATCTCAAGAACCTAAACAATAAGAACAAAACATGCCCAAAGCAAGCAGAGGAAGGAAACCATAAAGATAAAAGCAGACATCAACGAAATTAAAAAAAAAAAACTTGGAGGAAAAAAATCAGTGAAACAAGACCTGGTCCTTTGAAAAGATGAACAAAATTGATAAATCTCTAGCAAGAGTAACAATGAAGAAATCAGAGGCAGAAATTACCAATATCAGGAATGAAATAAGGGATATATTATTACAGACCATGAAGATATAAAAATGATAATGGAATACTTCGAACAACTCTATGTAGACTTCACAATGTAAGCAAAATGGACCAATTCCTGAAAAATCACAAATTATCACAATATGAAATAGATAATTTGAATAGCCTTATAAATATTAAGGAAACTGAATCATAATTTTAAAACTCCCAAAAAATAAATCCCCAAGCCCATATGGTTTTTACCACCAGAGAATACTACCAAATGTTTAAAGAAGAATTATTTAACACCAACTCTATACAATCTCTATTCCAGAAAACTAATATTACCTTGATACCCAAACTATACAAAGACAATAAAAAAGAGAAAATCACAGACCAAGCTCTGTTGTGAAAATGGATGTAAAAAATCCTCATTGAAACAATATCAGATATAATTCAGCAACATATAAAAAATAATTATACACCATGACCAAGTGGGGCTTATTCCAAGGATGCAGGACTGGTTAAATTAAAAAAATATATATCAATGCAATCCACCAAACTAACAGGCTAAAGGAGGAAAGAAATCACAACAATATCAATGGATGAAGAAAAAGCATCTTAAAAATTTCAATACCTATTCATGATATAAACTCTCAGAAAAGTAGGAATAGAGAAAACTTCATCAACTTGATAAAGATCATCTGCAAAAATTCTATAGCTGACATTATACTCAACAGTGAAAAGACTCAGTGCTTTCCCCCTAGGTTTGGAAACAAATATATCCACTGTCACCACTCTTAACATAATGCTAGAAGTTCTAGTCAGTGCAATAAAGCAAGAAAGGGAAATTAAAACCATATATTTTAAAAAGGAAGAAATAAAACTGTCTTTTACTGGCAGATGATATAATTGTCTATGTAGAAAATTGCAAGCAGTCTACAAAAAAATTCCTAGAATAAGTGACTCCTGGAAGGTCACAGGATACAAGATAAACATGTGAAATCAACCATATTTTTATATATTAGCAATGAACATTGAGGACACATGGAAATAAAATATATGACAGCATTTACAATCACTCAAAAAACAATACTTAGGTGTAAATCTAACAAAACGTACACAGCTGGTAAGCTGCAAACCACAAAGTGAAAGAAATAAAAGAATATCTAAATAAATTGGGAGACAGATTGTGTTAATTGGAAGATTCATCACAGCAAAGATGTCAACAATTTTCAAATTGATATACAGGCTTAATACAATTCCTATCAAAATTCCAGCAAGATTTTTTTGTAGATACAAACAAGATTGTTCTAAAATATATACTGGAAAGGAAGGAAACTAGATTAAATGATTTTGAAAAAAGAAACAGAAAGTGGGAGGAATCACTGTACCCAACTTCAAGACTGACCATCATAGCTCCAGTACTGTGTGGTATTGGTGGAGGGAAAGACCCCATAGGTCAGTGGAAAAGAAAAGAGAATCCAGAATAGACCCACACAAATTAGCCCACCTAATTTCTGACAAAAGTGCAAAAGCAATTCAGTGGAGAAAAGATAACATTTTCAACAAATGGTGCTGCAGCAATTGGACATCCCTAGCCAAAAAAAAATTAACCTCAACCTAAGTCTCAGAACTTATAATTAACTCAAAATGAACCACAAATTTAAATATAAAACTATAAACTTTTGGGGGAAAAAACCCCAGAACGTTCTGCATCTATAGCAGCAAAAAGTTCTTAGACTTGACACCAAAAGTATAATCCACAAAAGGAAAAATTGACCAGGACCTAGCTAAAAACTTTTGCTCTGCTAAACATCTTGTTAAGAGAATAAAAAGACAAGCCAGAAACTGGGAGAAAATATTTGTAAATCACATATTTGACAAAGCACTAGAATCTGTAATATATAAAGAACTTTCAAAACTTGGCAGTAAAAAAATAAACAATCCAAATTAGAAAATGGACAAAGACATGGAGAACATTTCACCAAAAAGGATACACAGATGGCAAATAAGCACATGAAAAGATGTTTATCATTAGCCATTAGTCAAACAAAACCACAATGAGCTATCACTACACAAATGTGACTGCTCAACATCATTAATCATTAGAGAAATGCAAATCAAAACTACAATGAGATATCATCTCACACCATTCAGAATGGCCATCATCAAAATATCTAGAAACAATAAATGCTGGAGAGGATGTGGACAAAAGGGAACACTCTTGCACTGCTGGTGGGAATGTGAATTGGTTCAGCCACTATGGAGAACAGTATGGAGGTTCCTTATAAAACTACAAATAGAACTACCATATAACCCAGCAATCCCACTACTGGGCATATACCCTGAGAAAACCAAAATTCAAAAAAGAGTCATGTACCAAAATGTTCATTGCAGCTCTATCTACAATAGCCCAGAGATGGAAACAACCTAAGTGCCCATCATCGGATGAATGGATAAAGAAGATGTGGCACATATATACAATGGAATATTACTCAGCCATAAAAAGAAACAAAATTGAGCTATTTGTAATGAGGTGGATAGACCTAGAGTCTGTCATACAGAGTGAAGTAAGTCAGAAAGAGAAAGACAAATACCGTATGCTAACACATATATATGGAATTTAAGAAAAAAAAATGTCATGAAGAACCTAGGGGTAAGACAGGAATAAAGACACAGACCTACTGGAGAACGGACTTGAGGATATGGGGAGGGGGAAGGGTGAGCTGTGACAGGGCGAGAGAGAGGCATGGACATATATACACTAACAAACGTAAGGTAGTAGCTAGTGGGAAGCAGCCGCATGGCACAGGGATATCTGCTTGGTGCTTTGTGACCGCCTGGAGGGGTGGGATAGGGAGGGTGGGAGACGCAAGAGGGAAGAGATATGGGAACATATGTATAACTGATTCACTTTGTTATAAAGCAGAAACTAACACACCATTCTAAAGCAATTATACCCCAATAAAGATGTTAAAAACAAAAAAACTATTGGTAATTGGAAAAGAGAATTCTTGGGTGTTTACAACTATTTCTTGTTAGAGAAAATAAAATACAAATTTTCTTTAATAAATAAATTCCATTAATAACTGAAAAAAATAAAAATACTAACACCACCAAATGCTGGTGAGGATGCTGGGTGCAGAGAATCTGGATCACTCAAACATTCTCGATGGGAATGTAAAATGGTATAGCCACTCTGGAAAACACTTTGGCAGCTTCTTAAAAAACTAAATATGCAACTACTATATGACCCAAAAATGCACTCCTGGGCATTTATCCTAGAGCAAAAACAAAAATAAAAAACTCATGTTCACATAAAACCTTACACATGAATGTTTACAGCAGTTTTAGTTATAATAGCCAGAAACTGGGAACAATCCAGATGTATTTCAATAGGAGAATGTTTAAATAAGCCACAGAATACTACTCAGCAATAAAAAGCATTGAACTATTGATACATACAGCAATCTAGGTGAATCTCCAGAGAATTACACTGAATGAAAAAAATCCAATCCCCAAAGGCACATACTCTATGATTTCATTTATATAACATCCTTGAAATGACAACATTTTGGAAATAGGCTGGGCCTATTTCCATTTTGGAAATATGGATTAGATTAATGGTTGCCAGGGGTTAAGAAGGGGGTAGGGGCAGGAGGGAAGTGGATGCGACCATAAAAAGGTGCAGAAGGGATCCTTCGAGTGATGGAAATGTTCTGTATCTTGCCTGTATTATGTCAATAGCCTGACTGTAATATTACACTATAGCTCTTCAGCTTATTACCACAGGAAACAACTGGGTAAAAGCTACAAAGAATCTCTATTATTTCTTCCAACTGTATGTCAATCCATAATTACCTAAATAGAAAAAGTTGAATTTTATTTTTAAAAAGATACTAGGCTAGAGATAAGACAGTCTGACCTTGAACAATACCTGCAAATTGAGTAATTCATTAACATAATATAACATAACATTAACATAATATAAAAACATGTTTAGAATTTTTTATCCAAAAACACAAAATAGAGAAAAAATAAATAACTTACACTATTTACTTCTTTGGGTGGTGAATTATTTCCAACATTTAATGGTGACACAGAGTTACCTGGGATGTAAAACATAATGCCTAATAAAAGTCAAATATTACTTTATTCCTGAAAATGTACAGTAACACAATTAGGTAACATTCAGATAATAAAGCTATACCATAATAACCTTAAAGCTACACTATAAATAAGTAACATCCTACTTTTCCTAATGAAAAAAAGGGATTTGTTTGAAATTTCCTTGACTACTACATACCTCCATTCACGAAGGCAACAGTTACCAAGCTTTTTGAACTCCAGACTCTACACCCTTAGAAATTACTGAGGACCTCAAAGAGCTTTTGTTTACATGGCTTGTAACTATCAATATTTATTTAGCATTATTAGAAATTAAAACTAAGTATTAGAAATTTCAAATACTAGTATTTGAAATTAAAACTAAACATTTAAATATATTTACTTAAATAAATGCATTACATGTTGACATGGTTTTTTAAAAACTGTTTTCCAAAGCAAAAAAAAAAAAAATGTGTGAAGAATGGCACTGTTTTACATTTTGCACATCTCTTTAATGTTTGGCTTAACCAATGATAGTTGGATTCTCATATCTGCTTTTGAATCCAATTTGTTATGATATGTTGCTTTAACTGTGAAGTAAATCTGGCCTCACATACATACGTGGTTGCAAATAGGAGTAGTATTTTATGGCCTTCTCAGGTAACTGGATATTCTCCTTTAATTCACACCAAAACTCAAGTGGTAGTTTAAGGGTTAGCTGCAATGTGGAATCTAAAACCGTTATCAATAAACTTTTCATACTGTTATATTAGAATCCATTGATTTATTTTGCACTTTAAATGGATTTTTACCCATGCAGGACTACAGAGCATCATGCATTGGTCTTCAGGAAAAGATTGAGAAACTCCTGAGTTATGCATATCTTCCAAATGTTGACACATTTCATAAGACAGTACCGAAAAATCTTTATGTGTTAATATCACCATGCATCTCACCAGAAAAGTCTTTTAAGAATTGGGAAGCTGTCAAGCTCAGAGTGGCAGATACACATTTCCTGAAATTCTCATTTTTGCTTGAAAGCTTGCACTTTATCATTAGCAACAAAATACTGTCAGCTTGTTTTCTTTGACATGACAGGCTCACTTTGTCCATTTTTGAGAAAATGACTGCCAGATATCTAAGCCCGAATGACCACAGTGTGTCATTCATTTCAATTAAAAATGATGTTCCAAGAAAAAAAGTTTCTATTCAGCTCACCACTCAATCACACACATGCTTTTCATACTTCAGTAAGCAGCAAAAGTTAGGAGTAATTCCCATTTTGTTAAACAAAACGCTAAAAATACCTGTACACAAGGCTCAAGACTTATGAATAAATTTGTACTGCTTTATCAAGGGCATTCTTAAGTAAAACTGACACTTCTGGGTTGTTTTGTCTTAACTGCAAGGGCATGAAAATGAAAAACAATGACCACTAGCCCAGGCTGGTACCCCTGCTAAAGGCAAGTTAACAAGGTGCCAGAGTCTACTCACCCTTGCTTTTGCACCACCAGCATAAAGTCAGCACAGTGAAAAAGAGCAAATAATGTTTTAATATTATTAGGAAATTATTTGTGACTCCAGAGGCCCAAGGGCCATACTCTGAGAACTACATCACCATAATATTAAAGGATCACATCTCATACACATTCAGAGGCTAATTCCACCAGGCCCCAGGCTCCTTAAAAAGCAGATTTTTAGAATTAAGACTAAAGGAATGATTTAAAAAATCAAATGAAACATGTCTTAGACATACCTTTGTGAGCTATTACATGCATAAAATCTGCATAGTAGTTTTAGAATATGGCCAATCTTTAGAACATCCATAAAAAGCCAGAGTGTTTCCTTTCTACATTCCCAGTATGTCTCTGGATTGGGGCAGGTGGGGAGGAGGGAGGCTTGTCTGTAGACACTTTCTCCTCAGGAATCCTTCTGTGATTAATGTAGCCAAAGGTAGCTACTTGGCATCTGGTTTTTCCTTCTAAATTAATATGTATATGCAAATCCTGTGAGTTAGCCATTTGGCTGTTCTGTTAATAGCACACTGGTGTATAGTTACACACACTTTCGGTAAGTCGAAGAAACCATCAGAATCAAGTAGTATTAAGCCTACAGGTTTTACTCACCTGTTGGCAGCATTGTCCTGTCTCCTTTGGATCCAGCCTCTTCTCCACTGATGCCATTAGAGTTTGAAGATACTGAATTGTCTTCCTGACTAGCCAGATACTGTTTGGTTTGCTCACAAAGCAAAAAATGTTTCTTTTTATTTCCATTCTCTGGGCTTTTCAACCGGAAATTAGGATGGTTAGGAGGTCCTCCGGGACTTCTTAAAGACTCATGCGGTGGAAGCTTGCTTTCATTTTCCTCAAAATTAAATGGCTCTGTCATTTTACAGCTAGATGCCTCCAAATTATTTCTTGACGTCATATTAAGCGGCAGTTTAACATTCACAGAAGTCTAAGGGAAGAAATGTATTTAAAAGGCAACTTTTAATTCCAAAAGTAGAAGCACTGCAGGGCCAGGTGATTTCTCTTTATGTAACAGCTCTTTCTCATCAATGATTCCAAAGCAGATGTAACTGTAACCATGATATCAAAGCCTGCTCTACAGGCACATGAAAAGAACGATTCTTTAAGTACAAACTCCAAGCTTAACAGAATTCGACAACGGGCAAATCAAGAGACATCAAAAGAGTTATCTCTGGATTCGACACCATTCCTTACTTTAAAAAGCTTCTGGAAACAACATGAATAGAAAAGGACCATCAAGTTTTAAACAAAGTATTTCTGACCTAAAGCCTACAACTTAATGGTGAAATACAATAGAGGGTAGTGTTTAGATCAGGTCATACCCTACCTGTCTAGCCTCTCAGAGTCCCTCTATCCTCCCCTACTTTTTTCTCTGCTATGTCTTTGACTATGCTGAACCAGGTCCTCAGAATGCCCTCACTCTCTCATCTACCTGGTCAACCCTTTCCTTCCTAGTCATCCTTCACAATTTGCCTCAGCTGATTCCGGTTTGGTCTGTTTTTCCCAAGTGCTCTGTTTCATAATCTCCAGCTGGGCTTCCATAAATTGTAACTTGGATCTACTGCTTTTAAGGACTTATCTGTGTGTGCCCTTCACTGAAAATAAGGTACACATACTGTTGTAAAGCGCCTCTGAGAAACCTCTAATCAGACATTATGTGGGCTTGTTGTTTTCCTATTACTCCTTCAAAATACTAAGTGCTTGCGCAGGGGAAGTAATATAAGTAGACAAACAACTCTTATTTTTCAGTAGTGACCTATCGCTTTGTCTTTAGCCTGAAGACAAAACTTCTGCCTATCTTCCCCAAACTGCTCAGGAAAAAAAAAGGCAACAGATAGCTGAAACTGGTTTGAGTAATAGCTAAATATTATTTGAACTTATTTTAAATAGAAGATAAAGAAAGAGCAGAAAAATCCTCCCTCGTGGTGTCCTAAAACTTCTATCTCTGCTCTAAATCAGGCCCAGCCTAATTCAATGACAGTACAGAAAAGATAATGAAATTTACAAAAAGAAAGAAAAGAAATACGCAAGCAGACTTACAGGTGGGAAGATCCCTAATAGAAGGCCAGCAGATGGGCAGCTGTGGCGGGAGATACTGTAGCTGTCAGGGAAAGCATACCTGTAGCAGGTATGTTCAGGTATACCTAAACTGAAGGATCAGATTGAGAACTACTATGAAGGATGCAGTAAGACAGAAATACTGTGAAATTACAAAAGGAAAATAACTTCCAGGGGATGCTGGGTGGCGATGTGAATATTGAGTAATGCTAGACTCTGTACAAGAAATATAAAGAACATGCATTTAAAGTATTAGGGCAGGCTTCCCTGGTGGCACAGTGGTTGAGAATCCACCTGCCAATGCAGGAGACACGGGTTCGATCCCTGGTCCGGGAGGATCCCACATGCCATGGAGCAACTAAGCCCGTGTGCCACACCTACTGAGCCTGTGCTCTACAGCCCACGTGCCCCAACTGCTGAAGCCCGCAAGCCTAGAGCCCGTGCTCTGCAACGAGAGGCCACCGCAGTGAGAGATCCACGCACAATGAAGAGTGGCCCCCGTGCTTCCCTGGTGGCGCAGTGGTTGCGAGTCCGCCTGCCGATGCAGGGGACACGGGTTCGTGCCCCGGTCCGGGAAGATCCCACATGCCGCGGAGCGGCTGGGCCCGTGAGCCATGGCCGCTGAGCTTGCGCATCCGGAGCCTGTGCTCCGCAAGGGGAGAGGCCACAAGAGTGAGAGGCCCGCGTACCACAAAAAAAAAAAAAAGAACTCAAGGTAGAAAATATTGAGATAAAGAGAGATATTTTACATTGGTAAAAGAAACCCTCCCAGGAGAGAGAGCGGCCAGAAATCTCTGACTCACAATGACATTGCCTTGAGATGTATAAAGTAAAAACTGATTAGAAGAGAAATGCAGTCACAATAAGGACACACCTGCTTTAGACACATAATAGTCGACAGATAGAAAACAAGCAGTGATATATATTTTACTAACACAATAAACTTGATCTAATAGAGACCAATACAACCAAGAACATTCATTTTTCGAACACTGAGACATAATGGACTACAAAGTCCACTTCAACTAACTCCAAAAGAAACTAGTACCAAACGGGCCATGTTCACTCATCACACTACACAAACCTCCATCTCAGATTTTGCTTCCCAGAGAATCAGTGTGCAACACCCACACTGGAGGATGAGGAGTTTGGGTTTTATTTATTTATTTATTTTTGGGATCTTAGTTCCCCGACCAGGGATCAAACCCGTGCCCCTTGCATTGGGAGCTCTGAGCCTTAACCACTGGACCACCAGGGAAGTCCCTGTTTTATTAAAGTGGCAAAATACCATAAACGAAATGACAGCAAACATGATTAAATGAATTAAAAACTTACAAAAAACAGCAAAGAGGTAGGAAAATAAGTACTAACACAAAGATGACAAATTTGATACCTTTTAAAAAGTGGGATAAATAGTAAAAACATCCAGACACTGTAGCAGACACTGTGGGTAACCAACCCAAACATCACCTTCTACTTCTGATTTGCCAGCTTGAGTTAAAGACAATACTGGCCATAATCAGAGTTCTGACTGGAGCTTCTCAGAAAGCTCTCTCCTTTCCTGATGGACAGGGACAGATTTGGCTAGCAGGGTCTTTCACTTCTTTCTTCCGGCAACACGGACTTGAGGCCTGAAGATATATCACCCACAATGCAATGAGAAAGCAATAAGCATGAGAAAGCAGCACACCCTCAGGACAGCGGAGAGGAGAAGGCAGAGTCTGGTGTCCCTGGCAGAAGCCCTGACTCCAGCCCTGATCTGCCTAGGCACAGACTTGCTGTGGCATCAGAAAAATACACCTTTGGGTTTTCTGCTATTTGAAGCCCAATGGACATAGATACCAATAAAAAAAAATGAGCAAAAGGCATGAAAGGATACATAGAGGATGAAGATTCATTGATAAACATAAGGGGGAAAACATTCAACCTCATTTGTAACAAAAAAATTCAAATTGAAATAACTATGTATTATTTTCTATACAGCATAGGTGCAAGTAAAACACTAATTACTGAAGGGAATATAAATTAATATGTTCTGCCTGAGAAATAAGTTGGAGATTTATATATGTACATGTGTATTATACATAATATAGTTATATAATATATATGTGCATATTATACATATATAACATATAATATATATTCTTAAAAATATCCATAGCCACTCACCTGACAAGTCTATTCTAGAAATCATCCCACTGAAATAATCTTAAATATAAAAAAATACGGCATGTATAAATATCCATTTAAAATAGAAAAAAAAGGAAAAAAGTTAACAGTGATGCTTCTACTACAGAGATTACACTACCATTTAAAATCACAGTTTTCAAAAACATTGTAAACTGTCTGTTAGAATGGCAAATGAAAAATCAGAAAAACACTGTATATTCAGTATAATAACTGCAAAATAAAAAAGGACAAAACTCCAAGTAAAAAGAGATGACTGAGATACATTAAATTTTAAATAACAGTGTTCTGGGGTAGGTAAGTTGAGGAAATCTTTTTCACTGTCTTTTTCATTTTCCAAATTATATTTTAGGATGAATTACTTTTATATAAAAAAGCATGTTAAAGATTAAAATATCATTGCATGTTCAAACTTTTTTTCATAAACTGTGGTTAATTTTAAACCAAGTAAAAGATCACAGTAATATTTAAACCACAAAACCAGGGTACAGACACTGCCACAAGACACCATTGGGACCCTCAATACACAGCCTTTAACTCCTGAAATAGCTTTTCTAACTTTGTCCTTATTAACAAGGCTGACAGTCAATCCTCAACTCCTTACGACCCTGTAGAGTTACCTATAGACAATTATTTTAAGTTGCTTGAGTGCAGGAACCATGTCTTACTAAAACAATTTACAAAAAACCCTCTGATTTCCCACAGTGCCTACCACCGCGTCTGGTACAATGTGGCATTAAAAACATACTCGTAGGGGCTTCCCTGGTGGCGCAGTAGTTGAAGAGTCTGCCTGCCGATGCAGGGGACATGGGTTTGTGCCCCCGTCCGGGAAGATCCCACATGTCACAGAGCGGCTGGGCCCGTGAGCCATGGCCGCTGAGCCTGCGCGTCCGGAGCCTGTGCTCCGCAACGGGAGAGGCCACAACAGTGAGGCCCACTTACCACAAAAAAAAAAAAAAAAAAAAGATACTCATATGATAAAACTATCTAAAATGCACTATTGCACTATTTTCCTGACAACCTGGACAGGGAAAGTTAAATTCACGGTCTGAAATTTCATCTAGCCATCTTAAAGGGAGAATTACACCATGCTATGAGGGTTACTGAAATTTAATAGCAATACTTCATGTCTTATCTCAACTCTTCCAAAGTCCAAAAATTAATAAAGTTATTTAAACTTTAGGAAGGATAAAAATCAGTTTTAGACCCAATGTAAAGTGTAAGCAGCAAACGAAAAGGATTTAAGCTTAAAAGAAGCTCCACCTATGGTGGAATATTTAGGTTAGAATTTAGGCTATCTCACTTGCCTCACCCAATTTATGAATTTTCATTACAACCAACACCCAGGGCAAATAGACATCTAGGCCTGTCCTGTAACTAGAAGCTTCTAACTTCCTTTCATTTTGGACAGCCAACTGTACTGCATGCTTCTTTATAAAATGGTTCTCTTCCCAAGTGACTCCTGTTGCTGCCCCGTGACCCCAACCGTTCAAACATCTGAAATGAGCACCATGTCCACTTTCCTCCAGATCCTTAATCTTCTAGACTTCTCATAATTCAGCACTTTCTCTAGTTCATCCGAAACCCTCATATAGACAGGACTCTCCTAACAGC